ACACAGTGAAACAGAACGAGAAAAAAAACTATGTGTCGTGCAAAGACATCACGTCAAATGTGAGGCGATGTCTGTATACGTTCTATCTTGTGCAAGAAGAGATATCTCCTTATTTGCTATAGTCCTACTATATTATCACTATCAAACAAATATTTAAACCCCTTGGCACAATCAACCATTTATAGTACTCGAGATGACACGAAGTCATACACATGAATGAATCATCAGGAATACTCTTCATATAACGAGCTGAAAAAAATACCCTCATCGAAGCTACTGTTACCTTTCTCTTCCTTGTGTTGACCGCCCAACTGTCTTCCACAACCGATACAATGCTCATGAATTATAAAAGCATTTATGAAAACAGATACTCTCAACTTAATACGGCACGGTATACAAATGATATGGTAGCAAAAAACCACTACGCTATATATCGTCAAAGAAGAAAAACAAATTCCAAGGTTCACACATGGGTTATTCGTACATTTCTACATTTCTAAACTAATTTCCTCTATTTCGTATTCAATCCCTTTCGGACACAAAAATAACAACGAAATGTTACTGCATATATAGCACTAAACCACTTCTTTTGCATGTCTGTGATGACTCTGCCATATGTCACTATTTTAAGGTACTAAATAGTGCCATCATCGATTTCTCGTTTGTCCGAGAGATCTGATTGTTTTAAATAAGATTTTTAATATTTTCTGACTATATTCGAGCTTTCTATCCAATGAATTTGACCCGCACACATTTGAGATTGATTATACTTTTTCATGCAACTATCAGTGGACTTTATCAGTCAACTATCAGGGATTTTATCAGTCCCCACAATAAGACGAGATAAAAAGTTGAAGGGTAAAAAACTTTTTTCTCTCTTTTCTAGCCGAAAATTTTCTAGGTTTGTGCTGCTTTTTAATAGTACTGTGCTCCATCGTGAATGTACTTGCGAGTGAGTACTTGTTTACCTGCAAATTTCCACGGGTACTTGACAATTATTTTCAAAAAGTATTACTTGATAAATGTCTGAAAGCACTTGTCAGGTACTTGATTTACTTGTTGAACCTCCCGCAGGTAGTTGGGGATTATTTGGGCAAGTGCTTGGCAAAGGTCATTATTAAAATTGCTGCCGGATCCAGTAGGATAACGCAACGTTTTAACAAAACATCTCATGGCATTTTTGACCTTTTGTCTGTTTTGTGTTCTAGATTTTACAAAATATGTTTTTCTCTCTCTTACAAAGAATGTCTATTTCTCTCTTTCTTACCAAAAAAAGGAATTTTGCTCCCGTTGTTTATTTCTTCAGTTATATTCGTTTTAACTTTACATCGCGTTAAACGTCTCTATCGTCTTGAAAAGAAAAATTACAATTTTCGTTGCCTTTATTTTTATAAAAAAGTTTAAATTTTTATTAAATAAATATGAATCTGAAAGCAGCTCCTGTTAATATTTTATCAATTCTAAAATTTCTACCCCTGAACAGTTATAATGTTCCTTATAGTTATAAAAAAAACTGTGTTAGTTGTTTTCATTTTTATTTATTTGTTGTCTTTGTTCTATTTGTTTGTTACTGTTGGTTTATTAATTGCTTTTTCTCTCTTTGTTTTAGATGTTTTTGGTGTTACTTGAATAAGTTATGCAATAGATAAGACGAGTTGACAAGTACAAAATAAATATCTGAATGAAAAGAAGCAAAAAGTCATTAAAAGAGATACAACAGTAAGTTTTCTTCAATTTTTATTGTACAAGACCGAGCAATGTTACACATCATCAGATTATTTTGCTTAATATTGAATTTGATCAGTGTCTTAAAATGTGATGACAATGTGGCGCAAATTGCAGAAGATATTTTGATTAAATTTAAAAAAGAGATGAAAAAATTACCAGCTGACGAAAATTATATGATCAAACACATGTGTGATACATTAAAGTCGAATGATGGCAGTGATACTATCAATCTCTATACATTACCAAAAATGTTAAAATATTTAGGATTTCAATCGGATGGAGTAAAGAAAGACACATGGGCTTCGTCTTATCAAAGAAAATATGGTCAAACATCATGTTTTGCAGCTATGCAATCGGCAGCTACTAAAAGTCGAACAGATGAATATGAAGGAACATCAACAGTAAATAATATTTTCAACAAATGTTGTCGTAAGAATGAGGATTTATGATTACTTACATTTTCTATTAATTGAACTTTCTACCAATAGTAATCAAAACTTTTTCATTAGTGAAAATTCATGAAAAGTTCACAACAAGTTTATGAGATATATGAGAACACTTAAAATACTAGATTCTAGTCTAAATTCAGCAGAAAATGGAGATTCACTGAGATTTATTTTCCGAAACAAATCTGTAAATTATTTACTGTGATAAAGGAGATGTGAGTTGTCCTCATACAATAATCAATCTACTATAGAATATTTTAGTAAAATTTTTATACTTTTAATCCTTGTTTCAACTACTTCACTTTGTTGTCTCGTTATTTAGATGCGTTGACCGCTAATATAGTCTTAAACGTTTAGGTGCAAAACTGAACTTTGTGCTCATTTTTTTACAATCATAACGTCCTACGAAATTTACCTTTTTATCAGCCCTCGATGTCTTTTGCTCCTTAAACAAATATCTTAACTTTGTCGTTTGTTATCGATCCTAAGTCAAAAGAATATCATATTTTAGAATTTGAAATTTTGTATCTGATATTCTTAAAATAATACTTCTTATAAATCTAGGCTCTTACAAAAGCTTCAGAAAAAAGTGCCACCCCATTGGTCAACGATGATTTTTCAATGTTTTAAATATAAAAAAACAGAATCATTTAAATGTATAAGAACAAACATAACAGATATACCAAAAATATTTTGCATCTTTTATTACTAGAACAAAATTTTTGAATTGACTTTGATCTACCCCATCTGTTAAATTGAAATTCATCACTTCGTGATTTTCATCGGTAACGGATTTTAACTATCTGTATGTTTAGATGCTGTAAAAGATATCATCGTTAATAAACAAGACAGAAATACAGGGACAGAAGTACAGGGTTGCGAGAAATGTTTTGCCCGGGGGGTATAGCTCCAATGACAAATGATGTCAATATTGAATTTTATACCAAATGAAAGCTCGTGAAAAATGGGGTTAACAGGTATAGTTAGTAATGTGATCGATAGTCATTGACTATAGGTTTACTGAAAATTTTAGGATAGGGAAGGAAACACGACTAAGAAAACTTTTTTTCAGAAGATATTATTTGAAATTTATTTGACTTTAAACTGATAGATTTATTAGTTTAATGTTTATTCTTTTTGAAGTTCATTAGCATAATCAAT